TTTTTTTTTTTGATAACTCGAATTCTTGGATAACTTGAATTCTTGTGTAACTCATACTTTTACTTCGGTCCTTTCAACTTCGAGTTAACCAAGTTCAACTGTAGTATACTACTAATATCACTCGTATGAGCGATAACATGATATCCGCACGTGTGTGTTTAGTGCCACCACTGTCAAACGATTGCTGTTGAAATCAATTCTATCGTAAAATAATAAAAAATATCGTCAAAAAAATTATTAAGGACATGGCGATAAAAAAATCCTGATTGGCAATTCATAAAAGTAGTAAGTAATCTTTACCATGTAAATTCGATGTAAAAATACCAGAGGACGTTGTTCCGGTGAAAAAAGGGGCGATTGTAATCTCAGCCCGAGGAAAAAAAGTTTTCAAAAGATCTATAGTAAACTCGACCCATGTTTTTTCAGGTAAAAATAATTTAAGTGTAAACTCAGCCTGGGGTTTTTTCAGGTAAAAATAATTTAGGTGTAAACTAGACCCGGATAAAATGTGCATTTGTATAATTTTCTTATAATATTTTTGAGAATCATTTAGAATTACCTAAAGGACACCACGAGGAGGCGTTGTATATATTCTTTTTAACATACTGAATATCACTTACTTGTAGATCTTGCGCGTCAGGTATATTGTGTACTGCACTACAAAAAATTTTATTTTGCCTACTCCAGATATCCTCAGTTCCTTTGCATTTGGCCATGGTGGTACACATTGTCGTTGTAGTACTTAGTCCCTGATAGGTTCATGTAGATGATCATCATTTTTCTGAGTAATATCATTATTTATTCCTAACGTTTTTAAAAAAGCTATTCATTTGTGGTTTATACATCGCTATTTTATTTCACCTGTAAATATTATTGAGCCGAGATTACAACCAACTTTTTTTATTACTTGAAATTTCCGGCCCGAGTTTACAATCCACCTACTTTATTACCTAAAATTGTTGGTGCTGAATTTACAACAAAAAAAAAAGGTAATCGTGGGCCCGGTTTACATTTGCTCGAAAAAAGAATAAAAAATTAAATTAAAAAAAAAAAAAAAAACTGCACGACTATTGCTGAGAAAATAATGTATAGCCAAAGGTTCGTATTTGTCACGGTTCGTTCGCCAAAAACAATACGGGCGAAATGTAATACTACACATAAGCTTCTGGGTACCATGTATTTCAGAAGAAAGAAAATAATTTTTTTACCAAGAAATTGTCGAGATATTTACCGTAAAAACGTGTCCTTACTACAGTACACATCGAATTTTTTTACAGTTTTTGCCTCTGAAAAAAACACAAAACACTATCCTGAAAATCACCCGCATACGAGACTCCTTTAACCGTTGTATACTTATCGAATCTCTATACCTGAACGGGAAAGAAATAAATCACTTATTGCAGAAAGCGGACATGTTCACAAAACCTTTTTTTACAGGAGACACATAAATCTATCTAGGCAAGACTTAGAAAAGAGATAGATTTAAAAATGAGTAAATTATCTTAATACTCACTTTTCTGAATGTTATTAATGGATTAGTTCCGTTTTTTACACAAAATATGTATTTAAGGCAGATCCGTAAAAAACTAAATTTCATCAAAAAGTAAACATGTTCCTTTTCTGCAATTAGTGGTTCAAATAATATACTAACTAATAGTATACAAATCGAGTTCAAAGATTATTTCGAGTAAAATATAAAATCGACCGTCTGGAGTCTAGACACAAATTATGTATTATTATTATTATTATTGTCACACTTATGCTGCTCCGTCTGGATGCGCCTGAATATACGTATAGATATAGAGACGTTCATATTAAATACAATAACTAGATTTGATTATACATAATGTTTATCCTATACATTTTTAACAATATAAAAAATGTTGTTTTATCATATACAATTTTTTAATAATATAATATATATATATTGTATATTTCGTGTATAATTTATGTTATTACTTATATTTATTTAATTATACACAAATTATTCATAATATGTTGTACCCCTAAAATATGAGATTATAAAATATTAAAAAAAAAAACCTTTTCATTCATACATATAGCATTTTTTAATCTGTAAAAATGGGAAGGAAAATGTTTTTTTTTTTTAAAAATTCGATGGGACTCAATTAGTATTAAAAAACGGACTCATTTAGTATTGTTCCTAAAATGTCACGGATCCAATTGGTATACACTCCAAAACAACCCGGGACTCAATTCGTCGTAAAAGTTTATATTGGGATTTAGTTCGTATGCATCCGTTTTAACGTATAATATTATGCGCGTTTGATCTGTATAGCCTCGTAAAATGTGAGTTTTATACGCTCCGGTGAAACACGATCGTCGCAATAACGCTGTAGTCATTCGGTGATCGACAAAGCTCCGCGAAAGATTTGTTTTCGTACAGAGACGAATGATCCGAACGGGTCGGAAAGAAGTGTAATTATTTTCAATTAAATCTGGAAAAAAATAAAATGTGTAAAGCACAAACGGTAACCACGCGTTGTGGTGACTAATATTACAGTGTCGAGAACCCATTTTGACGCGAAATTTGCTGGGATCTACAAGTGGTTAGAAGAAATATGAAATGTGATTGGTGTACGAGAATCGAAAACGCAATGCCCACTACGGCGATCGGTGCCGAAAACAATCTTACAGATCGCAGTGAAACATTAAACAAATTGTACGCTATTATTTGTCAATAACATTAGTTAGTTTTTATTGATTTTTTTACGCTACGTTCCATTTTTGCAAATTACATCGCGTTACTTTTACGCAATTTTTTTTTTCTATCTGACCAATTCGAAATTTTTCATTCAGAATCCGAATAATATAATTTACTAAAATATTCAACCAATAAATTCTAAACCCAAAAAAGTGAAAATGTACTTGAATTAATGTAATACTACAGTGAAGGTGACTTATGACTATTTCTTTTTAGATTTTTTGCTCGTGTTAGATTTAGGCAAATATATAAAAAGGTCGAACGCACGGACTTATGAGTTATAAGTAGGGTTTGGAAGTTATAGGAGTTGCATATTGTTCTATGGTATATGCTCTAGATTTATAGCAGACCCAGCTAAAAATCCGAGCTATACAACGTTGAGTTTAAAAATTGAAAATTAAAAATGAATATTTTGTATACTTCGTTAATTTTAGAGAAAAAGTGAATATTTCGTTGATTTTTCATTAATTTTTGCATATTTGTATGCATATTTAATATTTTCTAAAAACATTAATTTTTTTTCATTCCTAACCAACTTATTTTAAATAACGTTACAACGTTAAAAACTAAAACTAAAACTAAAACGTGCATGATATACAACTCAATATCATTTTTCATGGTTATTTATTGTTAATTTTTATTGTCTACTACGAATCTAACGAAAATATTGGTGGTTCAATGCAACAACTTAACATATATTATACAATATATATTTATTTCGTATTTCATAAATAATGAAAATATATTAGTTTAAATATTTTTTCAGTTCAATCAAATCTCAAATGCTAACCGGCTATGGGCCATATTTTAGTTTTCAATAATACAATTTTTTAATTATAGGCTTTTAGAATTTACTAACTAACTATTAATAAATAAATGAATATTTTTTTTGCATATTTCACACTTTTTTATACATTTTTTTATAATTTTTTCGTGCATATTTGCATGCATAATTTGCCTTTTTTAATTCCTATAACTTTTGAATCCTAGTTATAAGTATTTTTTGCATTTTTTCTATTGAGATAAGTCAATAATGGAATTTAATTTATCTATGTACAGCAAAATGATACGCCCGTGTTAAAAAGTTGTTAAAAAAAATTGTTATCACAATTTCATGGAAGTAGCATTGATTATAGAATAATATATATTAATTGTAGTTTATTCTACAATCAATGGTAGCATAGGCTAAAATATATCATTTTTTCGTACTGCACACTTAAGGATTTTGTCATATTTCCCTTTCAAACGTTAACAGTAATGAGTAACACTGTTAAAATAGTTGGTATTCTAGATTTTGCCGATGATATATCTTGGAGTTTTAAAAATATGTTAGATAATTTAATAAAAAAAAACCGTAAAATTAAAAACAAATGCCATAATACAGAGAATAGAACCACAATACACTTAAAATTTCGCACATAATTTTAGTCCCTGAATGGTAGTAATCATCACGGCTAAAAGTATATCTGGAATGGCAAACATTGCGCGCTCTAGTAACATAGTTTTAAATAATTTTGAAAATTGGAATTTACTAGATTTTTTTTTTTAATCAGTATTCCCAAAACTTCTGAGATTCAAATAATATCTAGTATCGATAATTTTCACCACTCTTTTGGTGGTAGCACTTTATTTAATGAACCACTTTGTTTTTCTTCAAAAATTATCATTTATTTGATGAGACATAAATCTTTTATATTTATTTGGCAAAACAACTCGAATCGTTATAAACATATATGTGTTTGTGTATTGCATGAAGAAACCGAAATAATCTTGTATTATATTGTATAGAATATAATATTTATTTTTCAAACAACTATGACGAAGAGTTTTGGTAGTTCTGCTGTGAGTATTTATATATATATCGTGTATGTGTGTGTGTGTGTTTATAAAAGCAATCGATATAATTGACAATACGTGTACATCCGCGTCTTGGCATGACAGTCGAAATCGTAGACGTATAAACATATTTTTCAGATTTCTCACACCAATATACAAAGAAAAAAATGAACAATTATTAGTAATAATATTTTAGTTAAGTATAGCGCAATAGTTGTTGTTTGTTTGACAAAAGCGAACATTTAAAATATAATATATGTATATATATATACATAGGTATGTATATGCATATACATATAAAGATGTGTTATGTATATAGACTTATATTTAATATTACGTCTAAGTTAACAATATAATGTGTTAGCAATGTATTGATTAAGATATTATTTTAATTATTGTTATTGTAATATACATTCTTAACGAAACATTATTTGTAATCAGCTACAACATTCACGTTAAAACAATTATAAATTATTATTATAGAAACATTAAACACTAGGAACACAAAACTCGTTACGAAATATTATTGATCACATTAGTTTTTTATTCAGAAGATAATTTTTTTCATTATTATTTTCTACGCCGTACAGGAAGATTTTACGAAAAACTATAAAGGAAAACGAGAAGAGAAATTGTAAATGAAAAGATGAAGCGTTGTAATATTCTACTTTAGGAGATATATTTATAAAAAAGTGACTTTGATTAATTTGATACGATAACTCTTGTACATCTATCCATGTACACATTCTAATAATCTACTGTAAATCTATCCAAATCGCATAAATAATTTAAACAATGATTGATTTTTGATTTTGCGAATTAGTTATTTCCACCAACTATTCACTACGAGACCAATATCTAAAAATGATTTAAATATTTTAGAATAAGTGTGGGTTCACACTTCCGATTACAAAAAAAAAAAAAAAATTAAAATTAAGAGGGAGTGTAATCGTTGTGTTTGAAATGTCAGTTTTAGTTCTTTCGAACGTATTGTTGGATAAATACAAATTGACATTTGACGTTAGGACAGTAGGCTTTGTCAATTACTGATTTTCTCCTTTACCAGAAGCGCAAGTAAATCTACTCTAATTACACACTCGTTTTACGTTCCTTACATTAAACATTTCACTTCCGGAGAGATATTTTTACCGAACCATGTTCCGATATATGCAACACAGTATTTTTATACGCATAAGAGTTTTACAAAATCTCCGAAAAGTTTTTTTTTTTTTTTTTATGCTAGTTTTTTTTTTATTAATTTCTAAGTGATCAAACGAATAAATCAAACGGAGACCATAATTAAGTGACCACACGAGCTACACGGTGTCACGGTTTTTGCCTATTCATATTCTGTAAGGATAATATTGTATTCGTGACGTTTTGATCCTGATCCTGAAACGTTGGTGATCGGACATTTTATTCAATTAAAAGGAACGTTTCGAAACGTCGTTGACTCGCTACTAATACATTTCATTACATGAGACGTAGTGGAAACAATGGGGACAAAAGAATCGACGGACTGTTAGATCGGCCGTTTACGTACTCGAATAGAAAAAAAGTGGCTGTTATTGGAGATTGTGAATGACGTTTTTTTTCTTTTTCTATTCGTCGCGATAAAACAATTTATTCTCTTGTTGTACACAGACGCAACAAAGACGATTCTCTGTCTGTAAGAAATTGCAATCCTATGATCTCGAGATGGTTTGCCCGTCGTCCGTAATTATTTTACGTACGAATACAAAAGTGTTTTTACTATAGTGCTTTAAAATCGGCTGTGCCCGCGCTTTGGGCGTGACGGGGTGGGAGTAAGTGTGCGGGAACACTAACGTAATATTATTATTTACACTGTAATTACGATATAATCGTTGGTAATATTTTCTTTTTATTTTCTTTTGCGTTCTACGCAATATTGGGACGGGGTGGTATTGTGTACGCTGCTACGGGAGTACGAGAAAAAAAAAAATGTTAAAAAAAAAAAGAACAATAATAAAACGCGACGACGATGAAGTCTTCCGTAATGTACGTTTACGAGGCGGCGGTCGTTGTTCAACTGTCCATGGTGAGCTGTCGCAGGCCGGCGGCGATGTGAGCGTCCAAGTCATGTTCGCCGTCGGTCGACATATCGGGATGCACGTACGACAGCAGGAAGTGGCACGTGCCCGGTATGTGCTCGGGGAATCCGACGGGCAGGCACGACCGGCTTCTCTCCTCGAACGAGAATCCCGAAGAGTTTTTCGTCAATAGCCTGCCGGAACAAATAAAATACGTAATTTTCGAAGAAATACATGCATATATATTTTACATACTATGTTTGTACAATATTTTATCAGCATTTCATTTAAAGATCTAAAGTTAATATCATCAGTGGAGTGCGCAGGAGGGAGATGATGGGGATATACCCTCCCCGTGGGCTTTTTTTTTCGGCTTTAATGTTTAAAAACGTATTATTTAAAAAATAGGATGGGGCAGTCGCGGTTAAATGGATTGGCGTTAATGAACATGTATCGAGATATTTCGTTATCAAAATAAATAATTGATGAATTTATTGTAAAAGCCAGAAGGATAGATTTCCGCTTATTTGAATTTGTTTTTGTATAATAATAAAGAATAAAGATTGAAAATAATACATTTTTGTGTATGACACACCCTCTCCCCCATACCAAATTCTTTTGGCGCACGCAACTGACCATCAATAAAAAAAAAATCCTAAATAGCATACTTTGTCGGAATACTATACGCTGCGTGTTCAAAAGAACATGTTGTATTGAAAATTATGATTCCGGAAGAGCAGGTGATAAGTTTCGACAAAAACAGTGTACTCGTATAATCAACAATTTTTTGTGATATAATAAAAAAAAAAACAAACAAAGTTGCATCGTTCTTAATGGTTTTTAAAATTTAATTTCAAATCTATTGCGATACAGGTGAGTTGTGCGGAGTTCGAACATTATTTAATTATGGTGCGTGTATTATCTTATTTTCGTTTGAACCGAAATTATCTTAATATTATTTACAAATTTCAGAAAATAAACATGCACCACAGTATAGTTTAAATTACAATATTTTTTCATTATTTTCTGGGAATCGTATTATTATGATCATTGAAAAGTGTCTCAACCATTGCGGTTTGTTTCAAATACAAGAAAAGCTTTTTTACATGCGGCAGAGCATTACGACCACAAAAGATATAAAAAAAATCCTAATTTGCTGTTTTTATTATACAATGTGATTACACTTCAAATGCGTAGCGGCGACCGAGAAAAACATTTAATGCTTAAAGTTTTTGCGTCAGAATAAATGTCCGACAGATGTACTGCATTGTGTTATAAATCGTAGTGCCATTACGATATACTCACGTATTTGCTCGTACGATAGATTTGTAATCGTGTAATGTACGTAACCGGTGAGGTTAATTTTATTTCATTTGAGTTTTCAAGTCGTAATGGTCTGTGATTCAGTTGAACAAATAATATTCCAATGTGATATAGTATTTTGTATATGAACAAAAACAAATATTAATATAAGTCCTATTCCGCAACCAAAAGCGCGGTAAAGTTTGTTTTCTCGTTCAATCCCTCGGAAAATGAATAATTTATTAGCCGCAATATACACCACATCTATCATGGTGTGAAAAACGTTCGTTTTACGTATTTTTTAACAGGCGACCGTCCAAATATTTCTTGTAATTCGAAAAATATTATGGATTTCAGTTTTATCGAATATTTCCAACGTTACAATTTAATTTTCAACGTTTTCCTACGACTTGTCGCAACTCGACTTCGGATCGCGGTCCACATAATTTGAGAATAACTTCTGTGGTAGCCATATGTACAACACGAATAAACGTACGGAAAGCTTTCGCTAAGCCTTTGTGCATATTTAATCATGTAAAAAAAAACGTTTGATTATATACCTATCAATACTCGTGCAATGTTAAGAACATTATAGAAGTGTAGTTGGTGATGTGAATTCTCGGTTTCGCGTACACGCACATCGTAATATTAATATTCTTATCCCATGGAAAAACTAGGGACAACCGCAATATTAATACGTATGGTGTCGACTACGGGTAGGTAACGACTACGGATAAACGTCACGAGCCATCTCGGATTGCGAAATAATAAGACGTGTCTCTTGGACATCGATCATTCGTACACTTATCGTATGAGATATGTTTGAGTTGGTCAACGAATGCGTATCATAATAACATATATGTATCGCTGACTTCAAGAAAAATTTATCGGAGTGTAGCCGATCCAAACGCATATACCCAGCCCTATACAAACCGGGCGAGTAATACGGGAGCAGTGGTGGGAGGAGGGAGAAAAACAGACAGCGTATACAAAATATCTGGGAGCATCTAATATATGACCCGAGGTGGTAAAAGGATATATCGTGTTGAAAAATGGGAAACTAAAAAAAAGTGCACATCCGATGTGTACGGGTGAGATTTTTTTATTATATATATTTTTTTTTACGATTTGCAGATCAACCTACTGAAGAGCAATGGAAATGGCTATTTACAGACATAAATATATGTGTGTTTGTACATATATATTCACATTGAAATACTGCTGGAGACGATATTATTTTTAAGGATTGGTTTTTATTTCAGTTTTCGCCGTATTCAAGTGAAACGGTTCGATTTATTACAAAAAAAAAAAAAAACGTTTTGCAAACATCTCGCAGTCGTACGGTATCAGGTAGAACGGTGTGTGTAACGAGTTCACGGGTGTGTGTGTAGTCCGAGTAAATCCTTAAGATTTACACGAGGGGAACGAAAACCCAACCCGTGAAACCGTATGTAGACGCTTTATAATTTAATACACATATTGTTGTTATATTGTTAGGGCTCGTGTTATAGCTGTTCCCCGAAAAAATCACTATAATGTATACATTGTCGGGCCTGGCAGATTGATGTACGCGCGAGACGTGGTCGGCGCGATCACCGTTGCTCCTAGGAGATCGCGACGGAACGTCAATCGAGGCGAGGAGAGAGACGAAACGCTAGACGATATTATAATGCGCACGAGAATTTATGCTGCCTCACGGGGCGTTTAGCGTACCGCGTAGGACACCTGTTCCTGATGACGATAAAACGTGCATAAAATTACGAGTGTATGCATCTGATGTGAGATTCGCCAACGGCAGTCGTCGCTCGTACTGCGCGTAATCGTATGTATAAGTCATTTTAACGATCCGCTGCCAGTGTTCGAGGAAGTGCTGAAAACGTCTCGAGAGGCTTCGTCCGTATGTATATCATACGTGCGTACGGTCGCGCGTGATTTATTCAAAGAGAACGCGATATTATGTAAATAATAACGAGAACATGCATATGTATATACCTGCGCGCGTGCGCATGTACGTGCGATTACGTTTTCAAACGAAATAGTGGTCCGCGCGCGCTCGTCTTTGGTCCCGCACGGGACTCGCTAGATGAGAGGCGGACGATAATAATAAAACGAATAAAATACGTTAAATTCGTAGGTGACTCGTGGCACGTGTAAGACATTTCTAACGGACCACAGTACGTAAGATGAAAGCGTGCCGTCCGAAAATACGAAAAGAACTTACTACGCTATAAAAAAACATTAGGGTTGGGAAAACTTTTAAGCAAAGAATAAAAATCGACCCTAAACGTTTTTTTTTCCTCGAAAATTTCGGTTTTCATAGGTCTACAATATTTTAACAACTGATGTGTGCGTAGGTAGGTATTTAGCTTTAATCGTAAAATATGCGGAGTAGATATATTTGTATTTATTTTAATACTACTAAAACGCGGTAAAAGTGTATAATAATTAATCGATGTCTTTATAGTTATAAAATAAATTAAAAATATACGGAAATCTGACAGTTTTCATATTAGCAAGCTGATTCAATTTTGAGTAATCGTGAACTGTACGACGACAATACTAACACAACTCCTACATACATGTTTATGCACTTAGGCAATTGAAATCAATGTACAAGAACATAAATCACTGAAGGTCAAAATGTAATATGAAGCTTATATTTTGCAGGCAATGTTGTTTTGTAAAAAGCCGCCTTTCGAGATTTTCCCAGTTGTTCGTTCGTTCGACACTAACCTATTTAAAATTTACTGGGACAATAACACATAAGTTTTAAACGTTGCAAATGTTTTCACTGGTCCTTTTGATGTCATTTTGATGAGTTAAATTTTTTATTTCGTTTTCGTTAAATTACCAGTTCCAATGCATTTTATTATCTGAACTCAAAACACACTAAATCTCAATGAAAGCCTATATTTAAACACTGTACTTTTTATTACAGGATTATTTTTAAGTAAGCACCACATGATTAGTTAAAGAACAATGAACAATCTAATTCATTTTCGGTAATACTATTTTCTGAGTGTCTGTGAGTGTGTATTTGTATGTATTAATCGCTACGGGTTTTATTAATTTAATTTGCAATGCATTATTATGCCAATGTTCACTACGTGTAAATGGTTCGGTAAACGTTTCGTAAAATATTATTCGAAATATTAATAGAAAAATCCTTTGAGTCAGATAGAGTGTATAATACAGTCGAGATCCTTTGATTTTTTTCGTTTAATTATACTTTCCGTACACTATAATAACGAACTCACTACGAACCACACCATTATGCATTGACGACATGGTGGTAATAATACTATTGTGGTAACTTGGTATACCGGTACACAAAACACATAAATATAAGGTACATAGACAGGACCGGATTTACACTTTTGAAGGGCCTGTTTAAACAATAATCTGAGGCCCATGTTCGGGCGAGTCCATTTTCCCCCAAAAATGAGATACCGTTATCCTTTGCTGACCATTTTCATCCTCCATAAAAATAGGTTGGATTCTATTTTTTTTCCTAACTTTTAAATAATGAAGTAAATTTTCCTGCAAACATTAAAATGCATATATAACTGGTACCAGTTTTTTAGTGCTGTGTACCGTATTACGTATTAAATGAAAATAACATTCGATAACATCGTGACGTTACTGGCTTGATTAAACCTAATTAAGATACGTACATACGTTGTGTATGTTGTTATGTAGTTATCATTGATCATTAAAATGGTTCTTATGATTATACAGATTATCACACATAGCTATTACCTAACTTTTTTTATTCATAATTCCTTATCGGAAGAAAATGGTCAAGATTTATTAATATATTTATTATTATTATTATTATTTTTTTGTGGAAATACCATATCTTCAAATATCAAATATTCTTAGAAACATAGAAAAATAAACTACTCAAGAATTGTATGCTATAGTGACTATAGGTTGGGTGGGAAAAAATGTTTTTTTTTTTTGTTTCAAAATCATAATGGTGCGGAAATGTTGCAGTTTAATATCCTAGATGAGGAAAATTGAATAAAAAACATCTAAATTTATTTCTTCAGTTGACGTATCGGGTTTAAAGTTTAAAAAAACAGTCTTAGGTAAAAAAACTAAGAAATTCGACAACTTCAAAAAAATTATGAAATTAATATTTTTAAAATGTATTGGTAATTAAATAACAGTACAAATATCTGTATTTATTTTTTAAGCATCGTCTGAAAGTTTTGGTTTTGTTATAAGTTCTTTTATGCAATTGAATAAAAGCATTGCTGTTCTAGAAAGTAACGTTTCCCTTATAAAACTGTCATAGTTTTTTTTTCTATACACTTTTTTAGATGACTCCGTAATCAGATTTACGATTCTTCCTACGACTAGAGTGTGACATGGAAAATTAAACTCAAAATCTGGTATAACTTTATACTAAGAATCTCTTTAAGACTAAATATTTAAAAAATATTAATTTAATGAAATTGCCAAATTTTTCAGATTTTTACTTTTTTTTGTTCAAACTTTAAACCCTATATGCAAACCGAAGAAACAAATTTAGATTTTTTAATTATTTTTCCCTCTTTTAGGATATCAAAAGGCAACTTTTCTACACTAATGTGATTTTGAAATACAAAAATAGTTTTTTCAACCCAACCTAGTAATTAATGACTAAATATTATTATTATTATTTATGACATTTATATGTTATGAAAAAATATTACAAATATTTTCGTATTATATTTAAAAATGTTCATGATTCTTTTGATTTAATATCCACTCGATTTTTGTACATTTTATAAATCAATTATTTTTTACAATTTTCAAAGACCCGGGAAAAGCGCTCTTAATACTCTCCTTAAATCACTGTACATGGAACATCTTAACATGTCCATCAACCGAAACAGTAATTTGTTTCGATTTGGAAATGACACATAAGAGTATAAGCGGGTGAGCTGAGATAGGCACGAAATTGAATCAACCATATTAGTATTATGTCAACGCTTATCTAACAGTACGCTCTATGAATTAAAAAGTCCGATGGGGGAAAAAAATGATTGTTGATAGCAAAGTTAGATTGATAGAGAAATTAGTTTTACTAATTCGTCGCGAAAAAGGGAAATTTAAAATGTGCGTAGAACATGCCCTCTCCATTTCGTTGTGGTGATCAAACGGATTGCAAGTCGAATCGAAAAAGTTGAGTAGTGCAGTTGATATTTTATTTTTTATTAATTTTTTTTTTTTTTTGGGGGGGGGGATAACTAATAAAAGTTTAACGCAGTATCATTAGGAAAGTGGTACGTAATGTAAAAAATACCAGTGTCGTTGTATGAAAATAAATATGCATTATATGTAAGTATGTTTTATGTGTTTCTATACTTACTGGTGAGTAGTAGGACTGACATTTATCCGCAGCGGTTCACTACCGGACTCGAACTTGTTGGCGATCGTCACGTTATGGCCGAATAGGCAGTATCTCGGCATTTTCACGCCGACCACGCCAGCTAATATCGATCCAGTGTGCAATCCGATTCTCATCTAAACATAGACGAAGACGAGTATGAGATGGCGATTTTCCTGGTACGATATTATTGATAAATAACAAAAAATCGAATAAAAAAAGGTTATATGGGGAGGGGGCGACTACCCCGTTCGCCCTTTCCCCGTAATAATGCTTTGGGTTACGGAACACAGCGTTATTTTCATGCTGACGGAACACCATGTATATTGCCATGACATATTGCGCGTGCCGATCGAGAATAAAATGTTTGCTGATATATAAAAATATTATACGAAAACAATAACGTGGCGAAACGTTTTCTATGAGCGAGAGAATCTAAACAAGCACACAACGTCGTTGCAGTACACGCTGCTGCATTTGGGACGTGCATAGTCATCTACGGTACCATATTGCGTGGGTACGATAATTGTTGCAGTACCGTCGTAATCTTAACACTTCGTCCGAAAAACAAATGACGTTTTGACCCTTCGAATACATCAAAGGATCGGTCCACTATTTAGAGCTACATAATACCGATGCTGTATACCCGAGCATATGCTCCGATAGTTCACATCGCGGAAATTAGAAGGAAATGCATCGCGTCAAAGACCCGCCTGTTGTTTAACAGTAAGATCTCTAGTGGAAAATAGAAATAAAAACGGATTCGCAGCGTGAAATACCAATACGGAGACGGTTTCTATTAAAAGTATCGGTAGTATTCAAATAGTTTTTAAAACTGTGCGGGAATAATTAAATAGGAAAAAATTTGGTGCGTAATTTCCTACATATTAAATAATAAAACATATAAATCCGCTTCCCTTATTGTACTTAACAATTCAATCTAAGAACGAACACATTTTTTTTTAACAAGATTTAAGGCCTCGTACTGGTTTTCTTTTTTCTCGCTTCTTTCCATTGGTTTTCCTGCTCGGAAACACGAATAACAAATCTTAAAGTACATCGTAATAGTGTTAAATCATTATCATTAGTTCCGGGTTATTTAAGATTTTTTTTCAATTAAAATTATGTTTTAACAACATACGAATGTAATTAGTACATTTCATATACTTTGGCTTTAATTTTTATTTTCAGGGCAGTATATGGTTGCTGTGTAGTAAACTAGGAGAGATAACGAAACGATATTTTTAGATCACAACTAATTTTCAAATTCAAAATTCGTTCAAATTTCCATCGATTTGTATCGTATGATTTATATAATACCTACGTAGGTTATATTAATTTAATGTAAAAATAATAATTCTATAAATTGAAGTATATGATTTAAACAAATTATCAGTCCATTATTGCTGTGCTTTTCTATTCATGATAAAGCATTTTATTTGGAACATCCGGACATTCTAGACGAGTAAGTAGATCTCCGTGCATTTTATGATTACAAAACGAGCACACTATCGAAAACGATGAATCGCGTACGACAGTGCTATCTCGTGGATTCCGTACGCGTTTTACCGTCGTCAAGTCCACACCGTTTACGCGCTACACGGCTCGTTCATGGTACATTCACCCTGATCCTTGGATCCATGTATGCGCAGGGTTTAGTAGTATCTAGACCCTGTGCTCTGTGCATCAGTCGAATGTTAATTTTAAAAGTGCACAAATATACAGCGGGGGAAAACGACTCTACAGAAATATTAAACAATCAATAAGGAAAAGACACGTGCTTCAATATATATTTTGACGTTGACGCATCGACAGAAGTTATTCAAAGCGAAAATGGCAAATCTATGATGTATCTGAAAGCTGAAAAGTTCATACGCGGTGGCAATTTCAATTAAGTTTTCCTTCCAATCGGTTTAGATTTTATATTTTTGATAGTTTTCGAGAGAATCATTTTAAGTATACCAAGAGGAATGGGATACCGTTACGAAAATGAATTGAATAATACTTGAACCGTACGAATTTGAGAGAGTTATAAGTTCCATACAGGGTTTGGATATCATCGGCTCAAACGGATAATTTTGGCAAACATTTGCGAACGATTATTTTTATTCCGATCATCATGGTTTAGGTTTTATTATAGAACTAAATATACGAGCTTTTATTGAGTGATTAACATTTAAACCTTAATGAAAAGCTCTAGGTTAAATATTCAACAGTTTAACATGATAACATATTTACACGGGACGTCGGTAAACACTCGTGTTATCACTACAATTATATCACTGACGTTTCTGGTAGATCCGTTACAGTGATTTTAATCGTTTTAAATTGAACGCATGTCTTCAAGAATTCTCTTCTCCATCATCAAGCTTGGAATGGGACGTTGATAATTAATTTTCACCACAAGCGTTTACCTCATCTAGCACCCTTTTTATGATTATTCGAAATCGGGCGTCCCATGGAATGACGAGGGCCCGATCCTCATCTCCATCATAATATATTACTTGCCGTATATGTCGTATCCATATCACGTAATTATCCTTTTCGTGATCTCTCCACGATCTCTCTACTTCATATAATTACGCGATAAGGATAACATTTCACGAAATGGATACCTAAACCATAGACGACGGAATTTGTTTGGATATCCAAATAGCGAAACATTAAACAATACTTCTTTGTAGAATGTGAACAGGCGTTTTCTGCTCTGAACAATATAAAAATTAGTAGCAGAAGTCGTTTGAAAAATATTGAACCTAATTTGTGTATTGCTGTTTGAACTCTTTCGCCTCGAATAGTCTCAAATATCTTATTAAATTTGTATTATTTAATAAATTATACATAAATATGAAATTATGTATGTTCATTATTATTTATTTATTTGATTAAAATGTGCCGTTAAAAAAAAAATGTTCGAGAATCCCTGGTCAAAGGTGTCCGTATCGTAAAATGTTATCCGATCATGCGAAACGGAGAAACCGACGTAAACGTTGTCAATTTTGCGAAACGGATAATAACACGGTGTAATAACGGACGTACTCGCGCATGTTACGCAACGGGTTTTTCTCACGTGCGCCGCTGCGATGTGAAACGAAAATCCAACAAATAATATTATTGACGGCGTGCAAATAGAAAGAAAAAAAAATAATAATATAACAAAATTGTTTACTCTGATCGGCTGCCCGTCATGCGTGTGATGCGTTTTGCACGTTTCGATCATCTTCAACGCCATCCATGCGATTTGCTGCGCGTGTATGGAACTGTACTTGTGCAGGCCCGACGCAACGCAGTAGGCGTCACCGATCGTCTCCACCTGGAAGCAAACGAGTGGCGATGAGCGAAAGATTATTGTCGAAGGGGCGCGAACGCGAATATTGAGTTTCTCGACGCGGTTAGCGAAAACGGTAGACGGCCGTGTTGCGCTACAGTGTCGTACACGTTTTTGTTTTTTTTTTATTTTTTTTGTTTCTTTTCGGTTTTCGTGAAAACCTATGTACTTGTGTACGATATTATGCGTGCACGGTGCCCCCGTGATAAATACACCGAGTGCATTGACCGATGTACCTTAATAACGTTTTTGAAACGAGACTAGCCAATGTCGAATCCCTAAATGTTTATCACGGTATTGTATAATTTTTTTTTTTGTAATTAGAAATCGTTTTTCAAAAGTTATTGACGGTAAAAAATTGAAACGTCAACATGTTATTCTCCGTGAAATAAACTCTATGAAACGAGTATCTTTTAACCCTCACAAAATAACATGTTTGTTTAAAAATGTGTTTAAATACGAATATTTGTAGTCCTTACACCTGTATCTTGTGTAAAAGAACAGAATTCGATTATCTTAATGTTGTCTCCGGAAATATCGCTATGGGTGTACCTTCATGGGTTATTCTGTATTATTCATGCAGTGCACATATACGCCACCGTGGCCCGTTCAACGTTAACTTTAGTAGACGGTTTTTTTCTATCTTACAAGTTCGTTTTATGCTGTTTTTTATTTTCTTTTTTATATAAGTAGTGTGTACATTATGCATTTTGTAATTTCTATTTTAAGTTTTAAACGCGCTACACGATGCATTAAGCTATAATAATATTACAGCGTAATGTCGTTTTGTACGACGGTCGTGGAAAATTATTCTTGCTTATTATGTAATATTTTAACGGTCTGATTTTCGTAATCTATGTAACTTTTATTATTATATACGGATTTAATATATAATCAATAATAAAAAGAGTAGTTAGGTATAAATTTTATACTATTAAATAAAAAATTTGGTGAGAGATTCGTTGTTCAATTATCACTCTCGTCGATAATTACAATAATATTTGAGTTTTAAATCAAAACGAGTACGTACGTTTGGATGTTATACATCGTTCATAATCGTATGCATTATTAATGTTTATTATTATGCTTCTATTTCGTGCACAACACGATTAAATATGGTGCTGCGTAAGAAAATGAATTCGAAAACGTTTCCAACATTTCTGTCGGGTTTTAAACAACTTTTAGAATTTAAGTACCATAATAATAACAATAATAATTACATGCATTTCTGAGTGACGTGATAAAAGTTATGCTAAACACGCGTTTATACGAGTCAAAAATAACGATTATGTAAAGTATAGAAAACCACAATTAAACGTACATTATCAACGTAGCGAAGCTCAAAAAAATTACTTTAAGGTATTCGCGTGATGTTTATCTTGACCGTAAAATGTGCACATATATACTAACGTACTTGCATGACATTTTATTGGTACAGAACGAAATACCGAAGTGGTTAAATCCGCATGTCGTATAATATTTATACATAACAGGTAAAGATTAGTAAATTCAAATGAACGTAAAACGTAGTACAACGATTCATCGAAATATTTCTGAAAAGTTAATGTTTACCGTTAAGAGTGTTTGATATATAATAAAAGTATATCCTCTCCGAAATCTACAAAAACAGGAGCTTTGAGTTGTGCACACGTGTAGTGTTTGTGCGGTTAGGGCGGCGAAAACATTATTATTTTTTTCCTTCGTTTCGTCAAGATTTTTGCTTCGTGTGGTCGTTCATCAGAGCGCAGACGTTTTTGACGAACATATTGTTTTCAATTGTTCAAGTTTCGGTCGATTGTTTGGTGTCACTTCTATTGCCAGTGGCGCACTTAATATATACCCGCCCTGGGACAAAATAATTTTTCTGCCTTTCCCCCTTACAAAAAAAAAAAAATATATATATATATAAATAAATTCAAAGTTAAGCAATAAAAAAATTAATTTTATGAAACAAATTATAAATCAGTTGTTTTGCGATATTTTATTAGATAATTTTATAGAAATACGTATCCTAACGTTAACCTATTTTTTTTTTCAGTGAATATTCCTTTCTTAAAATATATATATATATATATATATATATATTAAATATAGAAAACGAAATTAATACCTATTATATGCACAATGATTAACAATACATGGTTTTTTATTAGATTAAATATATTATATTTATTATTGATTATATATAATAAATATAATTGATAGCTTATAATTTTTTTTTTTGACTTTTGAGAACAAAAATGTTCAATAATATCATTAAAATTAATAGTTTTCATTAAATCAGCTTCAATATTGAGGGTTGTTAATTAATTAAGACGATTTTCTCTCATTGTTGATCATAAATAAGTTTTGACCCTTTTTAATGTAGAAAATGATTTTTCCGTTGAACAATTACTTAAAGGTATACATACATAGTAGCATCCTTAGAGCAATATCAATATAAGGATATACTTCAAATAAATTATTCTCTTTTATAAATGCTAACATACATTGAACACTTTTAGGTACAATTTTACTCCTTTTGTAAACTTTTTAAATGTGCCCTAAAGTGAATACCACGTTCTGTGTACCCGAGTCTTTATTGTAAGCACTGAACAAAATATAATATCTTATCGAATAATAAATGTAATATAACTATTTTGCTATTTCACTATTGCCTAGATGACTAGGTAAAGTATATTTTTTTTAATTTCTTATTAGATGCTTAACAATATTTTTTAAAATACTAAACAATACCGAAAAAGATGTGAAAATTAAAAAAAATCATGAATACATCAATTATAAAAGTTAGAATATTTTGCCACTCCCAAAAATTTGCCACCCGGGACATTTGTCTCATTTGACCTCTCCCTCCTCCCCCTAAATGCGCCACTAGCTAATGCATGAGTGGAATATTATGTTCAGGAGAAAACGATGCCAGAAGCGGTAGAATTATGCGGAAACGACAGTACTCAAGTATCCAGATTGTATAAATTAATATTGTCGTATACGCTGATCAAATTGTACCTAATACACAACTTGAATTAATGTATCACTTGAAATAATGCACATATTATATAAGTATTATAACTTAGTTGTCGAGTCATGCGGCCACCGCGGAAGACCTTTTATTCGCGTGTTTTTTGCCTTTTATAAATTCGCTTGACCTAATTAAACGTATTCGTTGCTTAAATGTTAATTGACAGTATTGGTAGTATGATTATTTTTTTCTTACATTTTAAAATGTTATTCAAATATATTTCCTATTGCGAAATGAACATACCATTTTTTAAATGTGTCTTATGTTTTCTGTGGCCCGGATTATTGTTAATGATATTGCTTAATATATATTATAATAATATTTTTATACATTTTATACGACGAGAACAATGATAGATTTTGCACAACTTCTGTAGATCACCTGGAAACAGCGAATGGACGTCGTTTGTTAATTTTCCAGAAACGAGTTTGATAAACGTGAAACCCATTATGAATTCGTTGCTGTCATGAGGACCTTTTAAGCGTGCGGCGTTCGACTTGATGAACAAAAACACAACAACAGAATATGAAAAATCAAATCAACTAATTACACGCGGATATGTACAATCGGTTGCAGGCAAAATATATTTATACCATAGGTATTAAATTTTGATAAAAAATTAACTATTGGTTGCAAATCAATTGGAGAAACACATGTAAACAAAAACAGCCAAACGTGATTGTCTCCAAATATAAAAAATCTAGAAATAAGTTTAAATTCTTATGAGTTATAATTATCAATTTTTGAAATCCATCCCGTCGTTATATCTAAATCTTGGCTTATAATACAAATCAAAGACTAATGGGTTCTGAAAAAGCTAATTACTGGGTGACGAACAATTCAATTCCTGGGTATGAGGATAAGGAACTGGGATAAGAGTTCGTGAAAAGCTTATCACGTAAATTGTTACCGGTAAAATTTTAAAATTACAAGAAGATGATCGAAAGAGCAAAAAGATTGATCAATATAACGGTAAAAAATATTTTGCGTTTGTTCGAACTGAAAGATTTTCAAACAAAAAAGATATTTTTATCATAACGTAAGTAATTTACCCGGAATTTTATTTAATTATTTTTAAAATTCAGTTGAAACGAAAGAGGAACATTTTTTCGTGTAGGACTCGGTTAGTATAAATAATAGGACCCAATTGGTTTAAATTCTATGATACATAATTAGTACTCGTATGAACCGAAATTAACCAGCACCCGGTTCATTCTCCCAGGAACTGGCCACATAACGTATGTGTATTTCCGTGAGTGTGTGTGTGTGTGTGGGAGTATTTGTACATACGTATATTGAGGGAACCGATTACGAAAAATGAATATTATACGGATAAAATGTTATATTTGAAAACGTATTTGAAGCGATTTACAAGTGAAGTCAGTTAGACCTGCACCATATTAGTTGATGCAAAATTCGAAATATTTTCGGGAAAAAAATGTTCGACACGAACTCTACGAACCAATATCGTACATTTCAACATTTATTTTTAACACAAGAACACAAGGGAATGTTGTATATAAAATCAAAATTAAATATAATCGCGCATCGTACTTTGATTGTTTTTTTTTTATTTTCTTGTTTGTGTCAAACTAAAGTGATAATAAGAATGTTGAGAATGTTTTAACATTGAGATTATTTTGGGTAATAAAAAAAAAAAAAAAAAAAAAAATACAGAAAAACTATACCATTAATTGTGATAATCAATATGATATCTCCATATATATTTACGTGCATTAGAAACTGAAAATTTATCGGTGCATAATTTACGCGTACAATGTATGAACAATACAAATTTTCATGTTAGGTTTTTATAGCGCCAGATACTGCACGGGTACTTGAAACCGAAATACGTTGGCCGCATTAAAAACGTCTTATTTGCAATAAAATGTGTCGTAAACGTTAGAACTATAGCGGCTATACAAGTTGCATTGGCATTAAGAAACTCGAAATAAAACCACTAATT